AAACCATTACATCTATATCTTCCACAATCAAAGCAGTCAATACTCAAAAGGAGCGCCCACCTTTGAAGAGAGCTTCTAATAGTGTTTTTGGGAATTATTTGTGGCCGTGAGGTGCTAGTTGTATAGGATTTAAAGCTACCTGTAACTTGGGGAAAATTTGGATTCTAGTAACTGATCAGACCTCCCATGGGTTCTAAAATGTGGAGGCACTCCCTGGAAGGTGAGAGCAGTTACATCTGCAAATACTTTCTGTATGAGAGTCACGTTAGATTTCCTCTTCGGGGGCTAGAGACTACCCCATGATTTAGAACATGCACTTCTTCTCTTCTCCAGGACCCCAGTTCTATTCCCAGAACCCAGGTCGGGATCTCTCAACTGCCTGTAACTGTCTGACTTCAGAAACTTCTCAGGGGAGAGGAACACACTGTGTGCTCATGGGAACAGCAAGTGGTTAGTCTGCAAGGACCAGGGATGGTGGAGGACAAGCTTGGCTACCACAGAGCTTTCAAATACTGTTATTAGTGGCTCTCCAGGTTCCTCTGGCTTATGCTGCCAGGCTAACTACAAAAGTAGCTACCTCTTTAAATCAGACAGTTGTCCATCAACTTAGAGTCTTAACTGCCGTCATGCCATGGATTTTAGACAAAGGCTATGGAGAGATTCCATCTAACACCTTTGCTCTTATTATGTGAGTTTGGATTGTTTGATTTCAATCTGGTTGGTCCCAGTGGAAACCTGTTAAGGAGTGTGCCCCAGTTTCTTAGTTAATTTAAGATGTATAAGTTAGTTAATAAGAAGCCTAAGCTAATAGACCAAAGAGCATGTGATTAATATTAAGCCTCAGAGTGGTTATTTCATAAGCGGCTGCAGGAACTAGTAAGCAGGACCAGTTGGGTAGAGAAAAATCAGTCTAGGACGACCAGTGGAATAGAGAATAATATTTGTAGCCATACCTGTCCACCTGTTAACTATCCTAACTCCCTCCCTTACCTGCCGGGATCCTGAGAGTCATAGATGTTTCTATGTGCTCAGCCTTCGAACTGCAGGTAAAAGCATGAAGAAGGCATAGAGAGTTACCTGATGAATCTGTTATTGTCCATCATGGATTAGATAACTGGACCAAACTGACCATGACTATGGTCACAGAAAGTGCTGCTGGTACCCAAGACCTCATCCCATTTCAAACCGAGCTGCAGACCCACAAGGAAAGTGGGATGGTTAAATCAGCCTACAGTTGTCCTTGTGTGTAGGAGTCTGCAACCTCAGTACTCCAACACCTGAAGCCCAACCGAAAGAATATTCTTAGACAAGCAGGTGACAGCCAAGTGCTGAGTCCTTTACAGCTGCACACGGCCCAAAATGTCCGAAGAAGTCGGGTGAGTTGTGCACAGTCGTGTTATTTCCATACACTCTCTGGGTCTATAGACACTGCCTGCCCATATTCCAGAGTGGAGTTTCTCAGCCTTCACTGGCCCTGTCCAGTTCCTGAATTACTTCTTTGTACAAAGAAACTTAAAATTAACACAGGTGATCTTTGCTTTTCAATAGGAGCAGTAACGGAAAGGTTAGCAGCTGTCAGAGGGAACCCTTGGCCCTTTAAGAAAATGTTTCTATTTCATCTACATTTAGAGAACCGCCAATTCTCACTGCACCACGTCTGCTCCAAGGCAAGGTGTGCCCCTTCCCCAGGCAGAAGCCGCCCAAGACTCAGGGTCAGGTGAGCACAGGTGCTCAGCAAGCAGTGAGTTCAAGGGTCAGAGCAGTGGCTCTCACCAGAGCGCTCCCTGATTCTAGAAAGATTTACAGAAGACCTGGCCCACGGGAGGGGGGGTGCCCCTGCTTCCACAGTGACTACTTCTCGGATCTTCCATCCCCACCATCAAAGCCCAGTTCTGATTCCATCTCTGAGGTGTGCAGTTAGCAGACATTACTCCGCGGAAGACTCACTTTCAACTCTCTGAGACCACAATTCCCCGGACAAAGAGAGGTCATCAGAGGAGAAGGCGCTTCTCCCTGTGCACTCTGCTCTGAGAAAAACTCAAGGATCCGAAGGCTCAATTCACATAGGATTATGGTAGAGAGTGAGGCAGCTTCTGGCTTCAGCACCTACCTAACTCTGAGACCTGACAAAAGTCTCCTCCCCTGTGGGGCCTAGTTTTCAGCTGCGAAATTAAATTGTTAGCTGGACGTGGTCAGGACACAGGGAAGAACTCTCAGGAAGGAAGGATCCTTGCTGTGTATTGATCTGGGGTGGGAGGGCCATTGGCACACACCAGCAGAACCCCCCCACACACACATACACACATACACACCTTGTACAGAAACCAAGTAAGATTTGCAGCAGTGGGAAAACCCTAGGAAAATCTGTAATGATTTCTGCCACAATAAGGCTGATACTTCCGGATTCTAGGGGCTGTGCAGGTGCACACCAGCTCCCAGGCAGAAGTGCCTAATGGTCCCTGGGGATGTTAAAAGGCCCCGCGTGACCCACGTGAGGCTTGGATTCAGCTAAGTCCTCAAGCCCTGTCATCTCCATACGAGTAGGCACATCCACCCCTGTGCACATGCGCATGTGCTAGGCAGCTTTTAAAAGCTGGATGCACCATCTTGCTCTCTCTCTCTCTCTCTCTCTCTCTCTCTCCACACTGACTTCCCAGGCCTGTGCACACCCCCTCTAATAAACTCCTAAGCGGGTTTGTTGAGTGTTCTGTCTTTCCTTCTCACTCGCGCCAGGGAATTTCACAATCAATTTCACATTTGATTATAGCTGTACCTATTTTCCTGATGATTGAGTCCTGTCACTGGTACTTGTGAAGGGGGAAATGTAGGGCGCAGGGTAGTTTGATAGAGACCTTCCAAGTCAGGCTTTACAGAAACCAACCAGAAAGTAGGCCTGAGTCTCAGTCTACCCTAAGGTAACATCTGACTCCAAAAAAAGACCACAACCTTGGACCACCCAGGCAGAAATGAACCAATCAACATCCAAGGAAAATGCCCAGCATTCCAACCATTGTAGATAGGATCACCTGATGTTGCTTAGCCCGGCACAGATCCACCCCCTCTTCACCAGGGTACCCCCAGACAAATGTTGGCCAGTCAGGGCCCTAACCCTTAGAAATCACTCACCCCAAACTCTGCTATTATAAACACCCCACTGGGGCTCCTTGATTGTGCCAATGTGCTGACCATAAGGAGAGTCAGAGTTCAAACTTAAGTAAAAAATAAAGGCTCTTTGCTTTTACATCCAGGACTTGGTCTCCTTGTTGGTTTTTGGGGGACTCCACGATCAGGGCATGATAGTCATCTGAGCGAGGAGCAAATACCTTTACTTACTCACTGAGCCGTTTGTGAAGCCCGAGTAGCTGTTACACTTAATAAAACACCATTTCCCTCTGCTAAGATGGAAGAAGTCAGTATGAAATGGGGTGCACCAATGCATTATTGAAAGAAGTACCAAAGAAATTTCAAGCAGCATTGTGACCATTGTGTCCGGGTTGATGCTCTAGATCCCTGTGGCATTGTGACCACCATGTCAGGGATGATGCTTTAGATCTCTGTAGCATTGTGACCACGTCAGGGATGATGCATTAGATCCCCGTGGCATTGTGACCACCATGTCAGGGATGATGTTCTAGATCCCCATGGCATTGTGATCACCATGTCAGGGATGATGCTTTAGATCCCTGCGGCATTGTGACCACCATGTCAGGGATGATGTTCTAGATCCCCGTGGTACTGGAGACTGAACTGAGGGCCAAGCATATGCTAGGCAAATGCTCTACCTAAGCCCAGGAGTGAAGAGACACCCACAGCATCTTTCCTTTGGCTACCAGATTATTAAACAATGGTCTCTAAGGAACTGGAATTTCCCCATATGCTGGGAGAAGTGTTAATCCCAAAATTCTCAAGAAAGGAAGGAACAAATGACAAAATTCTCGAGAAAGGAATGACCAAGAATAGGATTGTCCAAATTAAAGCACATTGTATTTTTAGGGGTAACCTGAGGATGACCAGCAGTGACTCTCCCTAGCTCGAGGTTTTTGAGAGCAGCCCACACTGGCCTCTCAAGTCCCTTTGATAGGAGAGATAAAGTGTTCACAAGGGGAGAGGGGGCTGGTGTTTATCTGTTGTTAAAGGACACAAGGAAAGGGAAGGAACAAGGGCAAGTATACATACCAAAGGCAAGAGCACACACCACATGAATGGGGGTAACAAGCAGTTTACATCAGACCAGGAATTATTTGATTACAAAGAGAAGCCTTCGTTGGTAGGGACGTGACACAGGACACATCTCTTAGCTAGGAACAGACAGGAACTGTTTTTGCTATAAACTGAACTCTTAACCTGTACGATATATTCTTAGTTTCAATTTCCCCTTAACCTGTGAGATGTATTTTGGTTTGGCATTAAAGAAACCAAAGCTCAGGGCCAGCCAGGGGAGGGATTTCTCTTCACAGCCTTCTGGCAGCTTTCATACCAAGAAAAGGAACCACCTTGGCCAGGACTGCCTAGTTATACGTTCCACTTGCCAGCCTTTTAAGCCCAATCTTACATCAGGACCCCAAAGATGGACTTGGGGCAAGACTCTGAGCCTCTTCATTTGTGGCCACCCTGAGTAAACAAATCTCCTTTCTCTGCTTTCAATATTACTCTTTCTCTCTCTCTCTCTCTCTCTCTCTCTCTCTCTCTCTCTCTCTCCCTCTCTCTTTTTCTCTCTCTCTCTCNTGCGCCACCACCGCCCGGCATTGATTTATTTATTATGTATACAATATTCTATCTCTGTGTATGCCTACAGGCCAGAAGAGGGCACCAGACCCCACTACAGATGGTTGTGAGCCACCATGTAGTTGCTGGGAATTGAACTCAGGACCTTTGGAAGAACAAGCAATGCTCTTAACCTCTGAGCCATCTCTCCAGCCCCCAATATTACTCTTTCTAACTGGATGTTGAGGACCAGTGGCTGAGCCTAGGTTGTATTGAGAATAAGACCGCTACCACAATTTTTGAGTTAAATTTGAATCATACTTTAATTAAATAGTGGGCAGGACAATGGGCTTTGGACCATTCCAGGGTTCCCAGAAAATGGCAAATTTGCACAGAATTATAAAGACAAACCCATTAGGCTACTAAATTCCCACAAGGTCCAATCAGTGACAAGCATACATCCTGACACACTTCCTTCATATATATTCTCCGCCTACATCCAATCATAGGCAAGCAAACAATCTGACGTGTTTCCTGCCCTCAAACCTCCTGCCTCCACGTGATCAAGCACATCCAGCACAGCTAAGAGCAAACACACTTGTTTAGGGGAGAGAAAGCACGTGACTTGTTATCTTCCACACAGTTTCCAGCATTCCGGGAAGTATCTGTCCTTAGGCAAGGGGCTTGCAGATGCATTTTGTTCCATGGATCTCTTAGGCACAGTAATTGACAGCTACAACACAGCTTTGGTTGTCACCGCTGTCAGGGTGCCAGGGCCCAGTCTCACCCCAACAGTTCTGGTAACGGCACTGCCAGGTACTGAACAAGCGCTCAGGAGCTCCCGATGCTGGTGCCCCAGCAAGGATCACTACAGCAGGAAGTAACAGGATATTTTGTTTCCAAGACCAACAGATCTCGACCTTATTCTGGGAAGCCTTTAAAACCTCTGGTTCTAAGAACATCAGCTCCGTGTACTTGGGCCAAATGAAAGACTACCCGGTTTTCCAGATTTGGAAAGCCCTGAAGATGAAGCAATCCTTGCTGTTGGCAGTCCTAAAAGAGTGAAAGCCAAACCACATCCACTGTGCTGTTGTAAACACGGCTTCACCAAGTCAGTGGGCAAGCATGCGCAGAGCAACGCAGAGGCAGAGGAGGAGAGCAGAGGGTGTGGTAAAGGAGAAAGGCGGGTTCATTGCACTTGCTGTCAGTCATGCTTAGTGGGCTCGGTTTAGTCACAAGATTTAACCTCAACTCTCAAAAACAATGTCTCGGTCACTAGAATTATGAAGGATTTGCAACGTCTTCAAAAAAGAGCTAAGATAACAGAAACCTGTTTGGAAGAAATGTGGGTTGGGAACAGCAAGGGGGAACCTGGTGTATCCCCTTCAGGTCACCTGGGAGCAGAGAAACCAGAAGGTCCCCTTTAGAAGACGTCCCAACTCCCTGTCCTGTCTGTTCAGCATCTCGGTTTCCAGGCCTGCTATCTTCCATTCAAGCTACCAATGCCAGGCCTGCTATGCTGCGCACACGCTACCAATGCCGGCTGAACCTCATGGGTCAGTATAACAAGTCTTTTCCCTTCAGTCAGCTCCCAAATTACAACACACAGACTTGCTATTAAATTTTGAAAGGTTGGGCTATACTCTAGGCTTGTTTACAACTAGTTTTTATAACTTAAATTAAGCCATTTCTTTTAATCTACATGCTTCCACATGGCTCATGGCTTGTTACCTCATCTCCTACACATCCTGCTTGCTTCTTCTGCATCTCACTGGTAACTCTGCCTTCTTTTTCCCAGCATTCTCTCTGCCCCCCAAATACCTAGTCATTGGGTATTTAGCTTTTTATTAAACCAACCCCAGTGACATGTATTCACACAGTATAAAGGAACATTTCACAACATTTTCCTTTTTTGTCTAAATAACTCTAAAATAGCAGAACTATATACAGTAAGAGCAATTATCATGTAAGAATTACATTCACAATGTCTAGTTCATTTGCATTTGGCATATTCAGAGAAAATACTCCATTATCTATCCTATCTTGGTGAGTCAAAAGTTTTGTATCTAATTGACTTTCTATCCTAACTTGTATTACCAACCCAAAACTATTTTTTAGACCACAAACATTTTGTTAGATAAGCTTTTATGTCTCTCAACCTTACAAACTTTACATCTTTTTGTGAGTTTTTTTTTTCTGAATTTAGTAACAAGGAAAACTGTAACTATAACTCTCTAGTCTTCAACTCCATTAGAGATCTGGGAAAGATATATTACCCGAGTAAACAGGAAGTATAGAGAAAACAACTTTCAGACCTATAGAAATGACAGAAACAGCTGGCTTCCTGGAGAGTCATCCAAGGTTTCTCTGTAACATTGTGCCAGCCATCTTTGGTCTACAGGCCTAGAATATCTGAAGACTTTTCTGTGAAGCAGGATTCTTGAAGACTGCCCTGCCTTGTCTTGGCAAAGTTCAGCAGATACTTTCCTTTGTATCCTGGTTTTTGCAATTTGGACAGCATACAGTCAGCATTTGAGGCAAGGGAAGTTTCTTGGCCCAGTGGGGTAACTTTGCCGCAAAGAAAGAAAACTCCATATGGAGGTTCTTTGATGCCCATCATCCTTTATGGAAGTAAATTGGTGCTGCCAGAAGCAGACTGTGTCTCATTGTCCTGAAAAGTCTTATGTTATTGAAACATTTTAAATGCCATATTCTGTAGCTCTCTGAAGCATTTGAAGACCACCTGTCCATCTAAAACATCTCTGTTTGACCTTGAAAACATACCTAACATGACTACAAGTTTGATTATTATAGGTGACTAGCCACTAAACTGCATTTCTTTATTATCCTAAATACTTTTTAATAATAACTTTTAAGTACTAAAACTTTGCATTTCATTGCTAAAGGAAATGAATGGGTACAATAACTCGAACAAGAGTAGTAATGCATGTACAGGAAATTTTAACAAGTAACCTCCAATTTGTATCAATATAAAAAATATCTTAAATGAGAATAGAAATATGTATGCCGTATAACAAAAATAACCTCAAATTTGTGTCAATATACAAAAATTCATGCCATATAAAATATTTAAGGCTAGTGGTTGCCTTTTTGGTTTACAGTAGATTCAACAATCTACCATTTTATTCTATCATTTCCATATCCCCTTTTTCTTTTCAGAACAAGATCCCTTAATCTAATCTCCTTTGTTCAGCTTTTTTTCCTGACCATGACCAAACACAATCAGTAAGCAGCCCCCCTAAACAATGACAAACATCCATAGTCCATCCAATAACCAAAACCACTAATCCCATCTCTTTGGGAATGTGAGCATTGTATTCTTTAGACTGCTTCCTATTGTATCGGGGTGCTGGTATCTTTGGAGGATCCTGAAAAATAAGGATAATAGTGAAGTCCTGGCTGGAGTAGTCTGTGAAACTAGAGAATTTCAGCCAGCAGCCTTGAAGCTATTCTAGATGCTGAACTCTGAGAAAACTACAACAGAGATATTCTGAGAAGCCTGATAAGTTGGGCCACCTGTTTGTATTGGTGTGTGGTCCCTCTGAAAACACAGAAACTTTTTAGAATATATATAATATGTATATTCTGTGCTAACACAAGTATGGAATGTATAGCACGCACAATTCAGTTAAAGATGATTTTTTTTGTTTTATATTTGAGCAGGTAAAACATGTATCATTTGTCTTCTATTTTTTTTAGGTTTATTTCTTTAAGTCTGTAGCCAGGATTTTATGGAGGTCTCCCCCAATCAAACCTGATTATCTATAACCTTGAATAAATCTATAGCCCTTTATTTTTTTTATAGAAATAAAAATATAACCTTTTCTCTAATGCAACATATTTTTTATTTCCATTTTGAAGTTAAGACATTTAAAAAAAATACAGGTTAGTAATTTTTTTTCAAGTCAGGGCTTCTTTGTGTTGCTTTGGAGCCTGTCCTGGAACGAGCTCCTGTAGACCAGGCTGGCCTCAAACTCACAGAGATCCACCTGCCTCTGCCTCCTGAGTATGGGGATTAAAGGTGTGTGTCACCACCGCCCAGGTAATTCAGTAATTTTTAAAATTTAGTGTCTCTTAGCAGATATTGTTTGTTCATCAGCAATCAAAAAATTTAAATACTGTAACATGAGGGCCTGCTTGTTGGGGTTTCTGTCCTGCCTAGTTTCCACAGTCTTTCGGTCCCAAAGAAAATCACACAGAGTCTACATTAGATATGAACTGAAGCTCAGGCTTCTTGTTAACTCTTATAACCTATATTAACCCATTATTCTTATCTATGTTAGCCACATGTCTCAGTACCTTTTTCAGCGGGGTAGGTCACATCCTGCTTTTTCAGTGTCTGAGCAGGACTGTGGAGGAATGGGCTTCCACCTTCCCAGAATTCTCCTGTTCTCTTTGATCCACCTCTACTTCCTGTCTGGTTGTCCTGCCTATACTTCCTTCCTGGCTACTGGCCAATCAGCATTTATTTAAAATATAATTGACAGAATACAGAATTGTCCTGTACCAGAATACAACAAAATAATATGCAGGATCCAGATTCCCTGTGTATTTCCCATCCCCACACGGCTTTTATTTTTTATTACTTTACTCTTTCTTTAAAGACTTTATTATTTTTAAACTATTTTTGATGACTGTCTATATCCTTTTGTTTTAAGCCTATGTAGATTGTTAAACACAGTTAAAAACTGTTTAGAGTTTTTCCATCTGGATCTGTCTGTACTGAGCATCTGCAGCATCCTCTGTCAGCCGTCTTAGCTCATCTTAGTGCATGGCACTCATGGCTGGACTGTAGGTAATAACCAATAGCCCCATCTCTGTATGTCACCAAGCCTACCTGAGAGACAGTGGTCACCAGGAAGCCATGTTTTTGTCTATATGTTCTGAACTTTTTAAAAAAGCTTTCTTAGGGTTTATGTGAATATTTTGGCCAGATGTTGGGCTCCATGTAATGCAACTCTTTTTCTGTTCTACCAGTCAGCTCCCAAATCATGACAGGGAGACTTCTTATTAATTGTGAAAGCTTGGCTTATAACTTAGGTTTGTTTCTAACTAGTTCTTATAACTTAAATTCTATTCATTTATATCCAGCCATGTGGCTCATGGCTTGCTACCTATTCCCTTGCATGTCCTGCTTCTTCTGTATCTCATGGTGTATAGGCTTCCTTCTTCTTCCCTGCATTCTCTCTGCCCCCAAATCCTGCCTAGCTATTGACTGTTTATCTTTTTATTAAACCAATCCCAATGACATATCTTCACCTAGTGTAAAGGAATATTCTGCAACAGGTCAGCTTTCACACCTACCGACAACCCTCCTAACACAGACCCAACCTTAGTTCTGTCTACAGCCGGGAGGGGAGGACTACAGTTGACAGAGGACATAACAATTTGCTCAAGAGTGGTCAGTGAATTCCTGGCTGTAAGAGGATAGCGAAACAATAGCTCATGTATCAAGTCTAGACTGGGCCTGGAATGTAGTGCTTGAGTATTTGCCCAGAATAATCAAAGTCTAGATTCTCTACCTTGGACTGAAACAATATCTAACTCAATAGCTCAGGTCTCAGCTACACACACTAACCTGTTATATGATAAATAAAGCTTGTCTAGAGATCAAAGGATGGAGCTAGCCACTAGTTAACCATAGAGGCCAGAGAGTGGTGGCTCACATCTTTGATCTCAGCACTTGGAATTTCATGCCTTGATCCCGTCACTTGAGTGGCACACACCTCTACTCTCAGCACTAGGGGGAGGTGGAGGCAGAAATATAAAGCAGGTGGAGACAGAATATCCCCAGTTTAGTCTGAGGATTCGTAGAGGTAAGAAGTCTTTAGTGACTGGCTCTTCTTCTGTGATTTTTTTCAGCTTTCACCCTCGATATCTGACTCTAAGTTTTGTATTGTTAAGACTAATCACTGAGTTGGGTCTGCAGCCAGTATGAAGCCTCTTTCTTTAGTTTATCTTTAACTCACAGCTTGTGCAATGGTCTCGCTCACAGGCCAGCACCTGTTTATTTTTAGCCCACAATGGGAGGTCAGCCAGCAGCTTAGAGATTCTCCAGTGTAGTGCTTGAAATCTATCTCCTGGAAGGGAGAAATGGATCAGCAGTTCTTGCAGAGGTTCAGAGTTTAATTCCAGAACCTGCACTGGGTGGCTTTCAATGGCCGGTGACTCCACCTTCAGGGGATCTGACACCTCTGGTCTCCATGGGCAACTGCACTCATATGCACAAATACACATATGCAAGGCAAGATTTTTTTAAAAAAATAATAAATTAATCCTTTTAAAAAACTGTCTTATTCACACATTTCTAACTTCCTCTGTGCCTCATCAGGCCCAACAGTGAAGGCAGCATGGGGAGTCCACGCTTGTGCAATCAGCCTTTTACACGGCCTCTGGACACATCTGCATAGCAGGCACTCTACTCATGGAGCTCTTTCCAGACTTCAGTTTAAACTCTCGATGGTAAACCAAATGGAATAGGGATCAGATGCTGGGCTAAAATCATGGAACCAGGTAGTCTGAGGACAGACCTCATGAGTATCAGCCTCTGTCATTCCCAAAGTGTTGATGTAGCACCGCAATTTTGCTGTCAGCAAGACCCCACCTTGCTGTGCTAAGGGGTAATCTAAAGCTAGCCGCTGTCTAATGCAGCACCTGTTGGTACTTCAAGGAGGATAGTTCAAGCTTTTAGGGAGTGGCCGAGGTGGTTGTGGGTTTTTTGTCTTCATTTTTTTGGAGATAGTTTCAGGTAGCACAGGCTGGCCTTAAACTCACTCTGTAGCTCAAAATCACCGTGAGCTCCTGATCCTCCTGTCTCCTGTCTCTACCTCCCAAGTACTGGGATTAGAGGTGTGTTTTGTCATGTTCAGCTGCGGCCATATTTTTAGTGAGTTTTAGAGGGTTTTTGTGTTTTTTTGGTTTTTGGTGGAGGATAGGTGACTCCTTTCTCTCATGAATGATGGGTCACTGGTGTCATAAATAGCAACATTGGTTCTGTGACTCTTCTCTCTGTTTGTCTGTCCCTCTTCTGAAAAGGTTACTACTGCCTCTCTCTCTCTCACTCTCTCCATTCTCTCTCTCTCTCTCTCTCTCTCTCTCTCTCTCTCTCTCTCTCTCTCTCTCTCTCTCTCTCTCTCCCTTCTCTGTTTATCTATTCACTCCATAACCCCCTTACCCATTAAATAAACTCTATACCCAAGTTCTGTATGCATGACATATCTGTCTGTCTCCAACTCGCTGTGGTCTCCTACCCACCAGGGGACTGGCCAGGGTCCCTCCACTTTGAATCTTTCATTGGTGCTGTGAACTCAGCAGGCTATCCCTTCCAGCTAAGGACTGCTAGGGACCCCGTGACCTATACCCTTCAATATGGTCACTTTTCCAACTTAAAATCTCTGGAATTCTACACCCAATATCAAACAGTAGGTTCTTCCCACACATTCGGCCATACCTCCATGAGTGTGCAATCACTCAGTGGTGGTTCCCCCATGGTCAACCACTTGCCTATCAGGATTAAAGCCCCTCACTCAGGCCCCCAACTTCATGTGATGATGTAGAGGTTTGGTTTGTGCCCACCCATTCTCACGGCCCCTAGACTTTGTGAGTGACGACCCAAAGCCAGCTTAAGCCACAGTCCATGCTGAAGTTCCTGGATGCTGAAGTTCAGTCTCTGGACCTTCTTCTTGCCTTACTCACGGAGACTACATCTCTCCCTTTCCCCTCAGATATCAAGCTACATAGCTGCCTATCATTAGCTTTCATTCTGCCCGTGATTGTTAGCTGGAAATGCAATGTCCTTTTTCTATGTCTATCTGCCTTTCATTCTCATGCATAATCACACCCATGCTAAACTGGCCCCACAGCTGCCAGGACCCACTCCATCTGGTGGGCTTGGCAGCAGCAGAATCGACCTCTCTTCCGTTCAAGGAGCCCTGTTTCTGCCACTACTGCACTGCAGGTGTAAGGTCCAAGGCTTGTGAAAATCCTAAACCTGGACGTGCTACCAGCCCACTCCCTGACTTTCTGTCTGTCAGCTGGGACAGTTGGTAAGATCACCTCTGCCGCTTCCCACAAGCAAGGTTCTCTCAGGCTCTGCCTTAGCACTGCACTCACTGAGTAATGCATTCATTTTTCAGGCCCAGGGCAGGGTTCCTCTCAGATCTATGGATCCTTTTCAGAATCCTGTTCCCTTTTGGCCTAGTGCCTCTAGGGCAACTGCCTTTTCTCAGCTCCCATTATCTTGTAGATGAATGGATGATGGCCCGAGATTGGCATTTATTTCTCTGCCTCACCCACAGGATACAGGCTGACAAAGTTCTACAGCGGGCAGTTAAATGACAAAGTTCTACTGCCACCATTTTCCATAATAAGCAAGGGACTGAATCTGTTGGGTCCAGCAATGCAGGTTAGATTTAGAGAGGAGTCAAAGAACCAATGTTATCATTCATGATGTGGATGACCCAAGGCTGGTCCCACAAGGGGCAACAGCAGGTGTCCTGAGGCTGCAGCGGGTGGGAGACAGACAGATACGCCATGAAGAGAGAGCTTGGGTATAGAATTTAGTTAGTGAGATGGGGGGGGGAGAGAAGGAGAAATAAAAAGAAAAAGGAACTAAAAATCTCATTCAGTCAGCAAGACACAGAGAAGCTGCCTCAGCCTGGGTCCATGGGACTGAGGCATAGCTCACAAAGACAGCAAACTCAGCAGCAGCCGCAAGATGCTGATTGTGCAAGCATGCGGAATGAAAGAGAAATGGGGATCCTGGGCCTCCCCCAACATTTCAAAGGAAGTCCCAGGAGGCCGGGGCACAGGCAGAAGGGTCAGAATGCTCGCAGGGAGTCTCTTACAGGACAGCCACATGAAGCTGCAGGAAGAAGGCAAAGCTCTCAAAGATTCCACAGGAATGCAGACTGCCAAGGCCAGGACATAAGCCAAGCTGTAGGCAATGAACAGACCCAGTCAGAGTGAGCACGTGCCTTACAAACAGCAAATCCAGGATACGGAGCCTCAGCTTGCCCTGTTATACTCATATGTCGTTTCTCCCAGGACAAATGAGCAGCCTCTTACAACACTATATTTTTCAAAAGACTATTTATATTTGGCCTTGGATACATTAAACAGCACATGTAATTAGTATCACATTCTTAATTAAGTTTTTGATCATCTCTGTTTCACTCAGAATTTGCAATGACGAGCAAGCTAGAGCTTGTCTAGGAGACATCTCACAAAAACTTAATGATACATAGATTTTCAATTTGGGAGTCATCTCATCTTCCTTTATAGAAATTCAGGGTCTGGAGAGGATACAGAAGCCTGTGCTGAGTGCCTCAGGGCACACCTGAGAGGCAGAGTCCTGTTGAGAAGCCACACATAACTTAAACCTTGCTCTGTGTTTCCTCTGTAGAAATAAAAACCTGAAACAAGCCATTGCCCCTGGTACTCTGTGACCCAGCCCTACAGCAGCTGTGGAAATGTCGGACCCTTACAAGGATGCCTTCAGAAGAACACTCCCAGAATACCTGGCAGAACACAGGTGGGTGATCACTGTCGAGCACATCTGTCTGCTGTTGGCACGCCCCGCAGCTTCCAAACCCAACCATCTTCTTTACATGCTCTGAAAGGTGGTGACCATCAACATTACCTGAGAGGCATCTGTCAGAAAGAATCTCCTAGCAAGATCTTATGGATGACTGAGAATCACAGAATGTGTTTCTAAATTCTCTAGCTTTTTCTATAAGTAGACCCAGAAAGCATGAATGCCAGCAGATATTGAAAAATCCTCACTCTCTGGATGATTGAATGCTATATTTTGTGAAATCCTTAAGGAATTCTTCCTCTCTAAGTATACATCCTTTTTGTCTGGAGTGTCTCAGGGAGTTGCTTTTATTAACTGCAGAGGACTGAGCAGAAGGGCCCTTCTATGGGTTCCAACAGAACATCTCTAGATGATCCCATTACAGATGGCCTCATTGGGTCACTCATTTCAACCACTTCAAAATCCATTTCATTGTTGTTGTTTTTTTTTTTTTTTTCATCTTCCTGTTTAGTCTCTTGCTCACAGTCTAGAACTAGTGGACAAAGCTTTCTGGTCCTCGCCTTTTCTTTTTCCTTTGCGCTGGCGTTCCAGAGGTAAGGTGGCTAATTTATACATCACGGGAAATATAACTCCAGTGAATATGGCTGATGCAAAACAGACATACAGAACCACTGGCAGGTCTGGGTAGTTTCCTTGAAGAATTCCGATGACTGCAGGAATTGCCATATCTCCTAGAGAGGCACCAATTACAAAGAATGCTGCAGACTTCCCAGTTAAGCTGGTGTACTGCTCAATCCAGGAAATGCCACTGGGAAATGTGGTTGCCATTGAGGCTCCATACACAGCAGTCGCGATCCAGAGGCAGAGAGGGCTCTTGTCAAAAAGCACCAGAAAGAAAGATGAAGCAAGGCTGCCAATGTTGCTCAACACAATCATGGTTCCAGGCTGTAAGAATGTGGCAAAGAAAATGGCCAGGCCCCTGCAGGCTGCAAAGGTCCCCCAGAAGACGGAGTTCAAGCCGGCTGCTTCAATTTCTTTCATGCCAACATGGGCGGTGGCGAAGGAAAATAGGTAAGAGCCAAATGTTATCTCGGCTCCAACATAAAAGAAGAAGAAGACGAAGAGGAGACAGAGCAGGGCCCTGTGATATTTAGCTCTTCGAGCTCCCTGAGCAGAATCTGTGGTCTTTTTCTGCCTTGAGTGTTTAATACAAAACAGACCAAACAGAAAGACAGAAACTACCAAAATAAAGGTGCCGGTGGAAGCGTACGCCCACAGCAGATTCATGTTCTCAGGTACCGCAAACAGAGAGTCGGGGCTGGCTTCAGAGGATCGGTTCAGCACTAGAGGGTCAAAGTTGGACTCTGTGTGGTTCTGAGTGGATTCTGAGGTACTCCAGGCCAACTTAGCCAGCAGGGGAGCCAGGACAGCACCCAAGGCGAAGCTGAAGTGCAAGGCCTGCATGTGTGGGGCTACTTTGTCTCCCCAAAGAGCCAAGATGAGGACATTTGCACCTGTCAGTGAACCATGGGGAAAGGTTCAAGTTAAATTGTCAGTCAGTGCCGGGAAATCTCAACAGGTCATTACTATGATAAAGCGGCTAAGCCTGTGTCACATGGCAGGAATGGCGTGACATTAGCCCCAAGTGGTTCTGATTAAGGAACTCATCCATGAACACCAGAAAACTGTGTGTTGTGATATCTCAACTCATACGTGGAAAGCTTCTAGCTGGAAAAGCACTACCCTCTGGAACCAGGTACACAAACAAGTAAAGGGCTGTTATACACAGGCCCACACCATACTGGGGGATAATGCTATAGACCTATTTGTTACAAGTGTTTGAAACATATGTGTTGACTAGGGAAATGTTTATCATCCAATAGAGGCCAAATGACAAAGCTATCTGGCAACCACTTGAACATGGTGGATAAAAGAAATGCAAACACTCCATCAGGAACACAAGCGCTCTAGGCTCCGGTGCTCCAGCTACAGGAAACTAGCGGCCCGTCTTTCAGAATCCACACAACACTGCCTGAACCCTGACAAGGGGCAAACTTTAAGCACCAAACCTTTGTTTTTTTTATTTTAACCAGTTACTTTGAGATAAGCATATGTTTCTACTTTGTAACCCCGTGACCAAATGATACCTGAGTTATAAAACACTAATGGTGTTACTGTTACATTAGAACATCAAGGAAAACTCGAGCTGGAGAAGCAGATCAGTGTGTTGCTTGGCTATCATCAGAGGAGCTTCCTGCTTCAGGTGGGTACAAACACAGAGACCCACAGACAGCGATCTCACACACACACATACACACAAGCACACATACACACACATCACATGTATGCATGCACGCATGAAGGCAGGCAGCCAGGCAGACTGACTGACCGACAGATAATGTCTCCGTCAAACTCCCCCTCTTAGAACTCAGGGAGCCCAGCTGAAGAGGAGGCAGAAAGAATGTAAGAGCCATAGGGGATGGAGGACACCAAGAGAACAAGGGTCTCTTAATCAACTTGAGCAAAGCTCATATGAACTCAGAGACTGAGGCAGCATGCACACACCATGCACACATCTGCACCAGGTGTAATGTGAAAGTAAAATGCTGCAGGTTCCCAAGGCATTTCTGCAGCAGGCAGGAATGCTGCAGGTCCCCAGAGCAGTGGCAGGCAGCGGGCAGGGAGTCCTGAGAGCAGCCAGTCCCAGGCAGGGACAGTGCAGGAGACCATGAGGAAAGACAGATATATGGGCACACCATGAGACCACGCCACACGTCTCCAAAGGCGGCTAGTCCTGGGCGGGCAAGAGACAAATGGATAGGCATGCCATGCAGAGTGAGGTTGGATATTTATTTAGTGGGTTATGGAAGGGAAGGGGAGAAGAGCAGAGAGGGAAGAAGAAGAGAGAGAGGGGGAATGGAGAGAGGGAGTGAAGGATGAAAGGAAGGAGGGAGGGAGACAGAGGGAGGAAGGGAGAGAGACAGAAGCTGCCTCTTTGAGAGGGAGATGGAAAAAGGGAAGAACTCAGGCTGGAAGTTGAAGATCAGCTTGCCTCAGCAGATGGGTGTGTGTGTGGCTTGTCTCTTAAAGAGACAGGACAGACCATCACACCAGGTCCTTCTCATATGTATTATGACTGCCAGTTTAGTGTTTTTATGGGAACCTTGAGTGTGTGAACAAGTGGGTCTCTGCTACTTGTGCCTTCTCTTGGGCTCTATTCCCTATGTTTGTTTGTTTTGTCAAGTTCTGGTTATAGATTTTCCTTTTAACATATATTCTTATATATATTATTTTATTATCCCTTAGGAACTTGTTTTTTTTCTAATGACAGACAGAAAGGGAGTAAGTCTAGATGAGAGAGGTGGCAGGGAGGAACTGGGAGGAGTAGAGAGAGGAAAATGTAATTAGGGTATATTGTGTGGAAAAAAAAACAAATCTAATGTCACTGAAATGAAAAAAAAAAGAACATCGAGGGAGATCTAGAGAGTAGGAACTGAAGGAAAGTTCAGATTGTGTGTAGTATTTCGTAGGTTTTCAAATAGATATTAACAAAAGGAAAAGCTGTACCTCTGGAGATTTAGAACCTGTAGGAGAAAATAACGGGAAAGAAAGCAAGAAGCACAGTTTCTCTTAGCTCGGTAAGTCAGGTCTGCTTAACTGTAAGTCTTGCCTCTCTGCTTTCTCAGCCAAGGGATGGCCCTGGGCTGGATCTAAACCACCAGCTCCTCCTACTTTATTTACAAAGATAAATTTTAACCCCCAGACTCAAGCCCAGTTCAGCCACACTGCAACAACAGATGGCCATTCCCAGGGTAGCGTTTAGTCCAATCGTATAGATATCTGTTTATAACCAATGCCTGACCAGCCCCAAGTGCAGCTGCTACAAGGGTGTTCCCTCTGAGTGTCCCCATGACCAAGTCAGTACTGTGTCATTTCAAAAGTACGCCAGGGACAGTTGATATCATCTGCTGTACTTTCCTAGTGGAGTTCCCACCCAAGAGTAATACTTCACGCACCTGTATCCACAACGCCAACAGAAGCCCCAAAGACAGACATGGTGACCATCAGTAAGACTGCTGTCTTGCAGAAAGGGATGAGATAAAGGCCCACTGCCGTTGCCACCATTGACACTCCTGGGAAGAAAGGCAAGAAATTCAGCTGTAGGAGCTGGCAACACGGGTCACTAGTGGAATGCTTGCTTGTCTAGCATGCATGAGTCTCTGCAAAAAAAAAAAAAAAAAAACTTTAATATTTAAATAATGAACATGAGCTATATCCCTCAGGATAATCAAACCTATAAGGGTACAAAAATTACATTCAGTTTCCACTGAGTAGTGGTTTCTAAACTGGTTATGTAAAATCGTGTAAATTCTCTAAGGCCTTTGTAACTTATGACCTAAGCAGATTTGGCGTACCATTAATGCTCATAATAATTTATACAGCAAAGCCATGGTTTTTTGGCAAAGGATACAGGCCAGAAATCATTTCCTTCTTGCCACACATTAAAGAAACTGGGAGAAATTTTAGATGTGGCTAACAATTTTTTTTTCCGTATAAGTTTCTGCTTATGCTCCTAAGTTAATTGCCTGGGGGAACAGGAAGGAGGTAGAAGAAGAATCCCTTATTTATTCACCAGAGGTAACTTTTTTTCCCTTTCTGTGTCCTACAACATCATCTAAATCCCCCTTACTTGTGCCAATTTATTGGGAACGTTATGCTGAGAGCTTCACTGTCTTTTCAGGTAGGGAAGGGACAGTCTAGGTTCCTCAGGGACACTGGGAAACTAGGACAAAACATAGTCTACGTCATTTCACCCACAACCTCCTGCCCCTTCATGTTCAATCCTGAATGCACAGAACCTGGCCAGGTTCCAGGAGCCCATTCTGACCCCTGTGGCCCCAGGAGCCCTGCCCTACCCCCAGAAAAGCAGAGCTTCATGGTCAGCCAGTGTGTGAGCCTGGAGCAGAGCCGACATTGCAGTAAAGGTCAGCCCTGTTCAGGGGGCAGCGCTCGCTCCCCAGGGCCAATCAGGTTTCCAGACTCCTTCCAGCTGCCCAGGTAAGGGCAGGGAGTCTAGAAGCCCAGCTGCCAGTGAAGACGCCCTGGCACTGGCTGCTTCTGTTGTCAAGTACTCTGCAGACTGTGCCTGTCACACGAAGAGCCAGGGTATAAAGTCAGGACAGGCAGAGAACAGCGGAGGTTGGTGTTTACTCACCCAAAAGGAAGAACTGATTCGTGTGGTCAAAGAGAACCCCACCAATCATGGTGCCACACAGGAACCCAGAGGCCCGGCCCACAAAAATGAGAGACAGGCCGCTGATATTTCTGTTCACGTTCGCTGCCAGATCTTGAAATGTGGGTCCCAGTATAGCAACACTCATTCCCTAAAATTTAAAAAGACAGAAGCTTTGCATTTACAATAATTAAAACAATGTCTAAAAAGAGTGGTAACAGATTGTTCTTCCATAAAAAGAGTAGGGCGATGGGAGACAGTGGGTTACTTTAAGACCTCAGTTCTGAAAATCTACAATGGCAATACAGTTATTGCTAGAGCAACGTGGTCATCTGAGCTTTATCCATGTACAGCCTTCAATTTTTAAATCTTACTAATTTGAGATAGTGTTTTTTGCAGCTCAGGCTGGCCTCAAACTCTGAGTGTAGCCAAGAACAGCCTCAAACTCCTGATCCTCCAGGCACTGAGTTTATGAATATGGACCTCCATTCCCAATATAAAAATTACAGAATTCTTCATTTTCTCAGTTCTTTCCCTTAAGCTGTATTCTGTGTGACTTAGTTGTGAAATGACTTGCATCAAAACCAGGGTTTCACATTCATTTCAGTGGCTCAGGAAATCCATACACACATTTGTACCTGTGGCTCAGGAATCCATACACACATTTGTACCTGTGGCTCAGGAAATCCATACACACATTTGTACCTGTGGCTCAGGAAATCCATACACACATTTGTACCTGTGGCTCAGGAAATCCATACACACATTTGTACCTGTGTACACGGAGACAAGGACACCAAGAAAACACTGAAAGAACACTCAAACCGGGGATCTATGTAAAGAATGTGAGAAAGTTCATAGTTCAACCTGGCTGCTTTTCTGTAGCTTTGGGATTTTAAACACAAAAACACAGATTTCAATAATCACACAAAGCTAACCTGCACTGTCTGTAAGTGGAAACACTGGCCTCAGAGTGAGGATTCAGAACCATGGAATTCTGGGGAGGATAAGCTTATGAGAGAGAACCTCACTGGAGCTTTTGATACAGACCATATATACACTTGATATGAATGCTGGATTTCCCTTTCTAGTTATTAATCATATAGTCCACACATTTTTTTCCTGAGTATATATTTCCAAACTAGGAAAAGGTAAAAACATTGGTATGAAATATACAGAAATATTATAGCAGGTGGTGGTGCACACCTTTAATCCCAGCGCTCAGGAGGCAGAGGCAGGCGGATCTCTGTATTTGAGGCCAGTCTGGTCTACAGACCAAGTTCCAGGACAGCCACGGTTTTACAGAAAAACCTTGTCTCAAAAATACCAATAAAATAAAAATATTTTTGAAGGAAAATCACTACACATGTTTGTGTGTGTGTGTGAATGTCTGTATAAAAACAAAAGGTTTTCTTAGTAAGATGTAAGGGGCCTTATGCTAAGGGGGTCAGGCAATGGCAGTGTGCTTGCTGTGCTAAGGGGGTCAGGCAATGGCAGTGTGCTTGCTGTGCGCTCATCACCTCAGCTTCCCATGAAAGAGTTCTGACACAATCACCGGTTCTCACTCGATGGCTTGACATTAGGTAATAGGTTTCTCTAAACAATTTCCGTAGATTATACAGCACGCCACCGGAAGTGTTTGCACACATATTCTGTATATGCAAGTTTGCTTGTTATTCAAACGCTATAAATAATTCCTACTGCTCACGAGTCAGTTCTGCCTACTGTGACAGCCTTTCTGACTCCCTCGTTCTGATGTCGGTGTTTGCTGAGCCCTCTGCAGCCGACTCTGAGCTGTCAGCCGCCTGAGCGAGTCCATCTTCACCAGCCGAGTCAGGGGCAGCATCTACATCCTCCCACTGTCTTCCTTCCTTGTGGCGTCTGCTATGGATAGAGCCCCGAGTTTCAGTCGCTGCTGAAGTTCCTGCTTCTTTATTAAACAGAATGACAGCAGCTTCTTTCTTTCCACATTTTGCACAAGCTTCAAGCTCACAGGCACCTGGTCCACACATTCGTAAGAGTCCCTCACTGCCTGTTGTAAACATGTAACCCCCTCCTTAGGCTGTGACAGTGGCTTGTATTTGCTGTACTTTACACGTATTCAGGGACTTCTTTGCAGCACTGACATGCTCCACCATGAAGTTTTGCCTTAATTTTCTTGGTTTGAACACTTTCATCTAACTTGTCTTTTTTTTTAATTTTTATATTTTTAGGTAAATGTATTCTGGTCCTTTGGGGCCCTGGACTGACCCACAGTGCCTTTCTAGGAACTCTCCAGATAAGAACACTGAAATAAACTGAAGAGATAAGAACAGATAAGAAGGTTGTGGACATGTGACCATAGTTACTGAGATTAGAAATTTTTCTAAAAACTGAGCATCAGTATCTAAAGTTCACTGCAAAGCTACAATTTTATGTTGCTGTTAAAACAATAAATAAGGTATTCTCACATGCTGGCTGGCCCTTTCGGTCTTTTAAATAGCAGCACGTTAACTCTATAACTACAGCCTCCTTCCCCCGTCAGCCCTGGGCTTAGGAAGGGATTGTGGAGGACTGTACTTTAAACTGGAGGTGGTTGGCCTAGGAAGCAGGGATCCCGGCTTTTCCTGTGTTCCACACGTTAGCTATTAAATTTTTGCTCCTTCAGAAACTGAGTATCCTGCAAAGAGCTAAGTTAAAGCAACAATGAGAGTTTCACATTTGCCTTTGAGGCGCTAACGTCGCTTTGGATGAAGAGAGACATCCTTAACCTGTGATCTGATCTTGAATAAGCGTTTTAAACCTTTGGAATTTTGCTGAAGTTCCCCAAGTCAAATCAGATTAAATGTTTCTTTTCTGTTAAATTTTAAGAGTATGGGTGTTTTCCCTCCTTACTTGTCTGTGAACAAAATACATGTCTAGTGTCCTGAGATGTCAGAAGAGAATGTTTGATCCCCTAGAACTGGAGTTACAGGCATGTAACTTTGGCATGTAATATGTATCACATATGAGCTGCCATGTGGATATTGAAAATCAAATCCAGATCTTACGGAAAAACGGACAGTACTCTTAACTGAGGATCAATCTCACTAGTTTCCAAATATTTTTCTTGAACATGAATTAATTAATTTACAGGTTTTCTGATGGATGCTTGAAATATCTCAAAAAGATAATTCTCTTACAAAAGTAGAGACATTAAAATAATTGGGCTTATTTTTATATTAAATTACATGGAAAACATTGCTAAAAAGTAAATAATGCTATACTTTTCAGTTATTTTCATAGGGGTGTGTTATTGTTCTTGTGTCTTAGAAATTATATAATATTCATAAAAATACAAGTCCTCGTAGAACATCATCAATAATAATCCTAATTATTATCTGTAAGTATTATATGCAAGAGTCAGGCCGAGCGGCCATGCCTGTAGTCAGATGGCAGGAGGATCAAACAGAGCATGAGTTTTGGTCAACACGGGCAACACAAGATCCACCTCATAAAAGCTGCAGGTCATGAACAGAGACGACTTTTCTCGCCAAGTGCATCATATTTTAACTCTCACCAGGCCTTTGGCCACTTGAAGTCTTGTCACCTACAGTTAATCATTTAGGGCGGAGGGGTCTTTACCAAGCCACCATCAGTTTGGCATCAAGGGCAGAGACTTTGTCAAGCACAGGATTCTGTAGCTTTAAGGTCACTCCATTGGGCTGGGGAGGAATTCTCGTCTTCTAATGAAGAAACCAGTGGCTCATAAACATCAAGGTGATGTTTAACCCAGCAAGCAGCGAACACAAGAAGAAATAAGTACCAAGGAAATGGCTTGGCGGATTTTCATGATAAGTAGCCAGTGGAGAGATTGTTAAGCTGTGAGGTTTGAACGAGTTTCACAAGAGTGATCCAAGTCTAATTTCCTACATAATCTAGTTAATGAACAATTTTAGGCACCTAAGTGGAAAGCAAAACTGGTGTTTAAGGTGATGGAAATCCATTGCCAAGCGTGGTCCCAGGGGCAGCTTGGATGTCAGCCTGGCACCCGCTGAGTCTTTAAAGCTGGCACCAGCAAAAGCTGTGCACTCCAAGACTCAGCGTGTAGAGCTGAAATGACCCCGAACGCAACCGAGCAGCAGGGGATGGCTAGGAAATGAGGCTCCTACCCAGTGTTTGCTTTGTCAATCCCTTAATTTTGGTGGAGACAATAAAAGCCTAAAGTGGTATGTTCTCAGAAGCTTCATGTTTTAAACCCTTGTGGATGGATTCGTTCACTTGACGCCCACAGAGACTCTGGACTCTGTGATATACATAAATACATAAGGCATTCCCATACAACATGAGTAATGCCTTTTTAAAAAGAGCTGCACCCTAACTTATAGATACTTGCAGATCTTGCCCTCTCATAAGCTATAACATACTCGCTACTCGATTTTTCGGGATTCCAGCAAAGTATATTTTCTCTAGGTTGAAAAAAAAAGCCCATTCCACCCACCAACTGGTGTGAGCCATGATTTCCATGATCTAGAATCTGGGTAATGGGGCTTTTAGAAACACCACCATTAACTTACTCCCCTCCACTATTGGAAGGGGCCATTCCAGGTTTTCTCTGCAGCAAACTTCTGGGCAGTCAGTCTTCTATCTGTATCTCTTAGCTGGGAGGGACTGATCCTGTCTGCTCCAATTGTGCCTGTGCTGAACACCTTAAGGAAAGGCTGACCAGGGACAGTTCTCCCCAGAAAGCAGACACCATTATAATGATGGGTCACTTTGCTAAGATCATGGAGAGATCTTCTCTGTCATTGCAAATTTTTCCTTTTTCCTTTTCCTCTAGCCTGGTGCCCCCATCCTCGTCCTCACGAGGATACCACGGTCTCTCTAACTATGCTCCTGCACATACTAAGGAAACTTCCTAGGGAAGGACTGGGATACAGGATGCATCATGGGAGCAGCTAGCACTTAGTATGTAAGCACACAGCATGGCAAAGGTAAAGCCCGCTAAATGAAAGCTCCCAGTCCTTCATTTACATTGGTTGTTTAATCTCATGTGGCTCCTGTCCCCAGACAAATGGAGAAAATGGGGAGCTCGGGGTCACCACCATTGGAGAGCAGCAAGGAGCTAATCTGCTTCCTGAGAGGGATTCCCTGACTGCTGAGCCTGTGGTCCACTCTCGGCCCACTTGGTAGTGCGGCTGTTTCATTCTGGGGAGCTGTGTTCCATTGCCGAGAACCTGCTTGAGATGGATTTGGGGTATAGGAGCTGCTGGAGGTGCCTAAACAATTTCACGTTTGTGAAGAAGAAGGATACCAGAGGTTCCATCCCCAGCCCCACAAATGCTGTTCAATCATTAAGGGAGTATCTCCAGTCAAGACAAGTTACAGCCCCTGTGGCAGTCTGCTGTGTGTCTGAATGAAGAAAAGCATGACCCTGTGTTGGTGGCTCTTACTTGTGAGCTTTTGCCATGTAAATTAAAGGACTTTGGAGTAGTTTCTCAAACAAGAGAGATTTCTGCTGCTATGTCCTGATTTTTCAGGATGGGACCCTATCTCTCAGAACCACTGGCTGCTATGTCCAGATTTTTCAGGATGGGACCCTATCCCTCAGAACCACTGGCTGCTATGTCCAGATTTTTCAGGATGGGACCCTATCTCTCGGAGCCACTGGGTTGTTGCTTGTTCCGGTGGCATCCTTAGACCTTCGCTCCAACATGTGCGGGGCTCGGCAGGGAGGAGTGTGAACAGAGCTCTGGGGTGGGTCTTTGCCTACCGTGTTCTTTCACAGCTGCCTAGCATCCCGCACCCAGAGCGGGTCAGCAGCAGGATGCCAGGCAGAGCTTCAGTGAGCTGCTGGTAGGTTTGGAGATTTTGGAAACCCTTCGGGTTTTCAAATGACAAGAACAGGGGGAAGAAGCACATGCTGCAACCAAAATCAGGAAAGTAGTGTCCAAATGGAAGTCAGACCTCCACAGCCACCTCCACAGCCAATCGGAAAGAAAACATTGCACAGACTTCAGCAATGTCTGCAGTAGAACACGGGTGAATTACTCGTTCACAGTTAAAGTATAACAGGTGAGTATTACTCGTTATACTTTACGGAAGGTTCAGAAGACCCACACTTCAAAGTTAATAGCTTCTGGTTAGTGTATGAGTTCTTGGTTTGTGAGTGTTTAGCTTTGGGGATGGGTATGTAGTTAAGGGCTAGAGTACTTGCCTAGGTTCCATAAAGCCCTGGGTTCATCCACTGTTCTTCACAGACAGAACATGCTGACACATACCCATTATCCCAGCCCCTTGTGTGGAGGTCAGGAGGATCAGGAGTTCAAGGTCCATCATCAGCTACGGGATGAGTTGAGGACCAGCCTCTGCCACTTAAGCAGCTACCGGTATGGTAGAGAAAAATTATTTTTTTTCTCTTGCTATTATTTCCCCATCTGTATAAGCAACTGTTTGGCGTAATTTAGTCAAGCCACCAGAAAGAGAAGATTCCCCCCAAAGTAGATTTTTATGTATAATAATTAAGGGCATTGACTACAGACCTTAGCAACCTCTTTCCTGTCTCCCCAGTACTCAGAGGAGCCTACAAAGATGGCCATGCGGGTGGGGGCATCTTATGCAAAATCAATCATGCTCTTGACAGTGACCCACCATGATTAAAATTGTGTTAGTTGATGAAACCAAAGCCCCAGCGGATTAACTAAAATGCCCAAGATCACACAACGTGCAGGCAGCAAAGGTGAGAGTCCATCTGGGACGGTCAGGCCCCTTGCCCGAGGCTCGCACATCACTTTGGGAGGGGTACAGCCCCAGCTCTCACCAGCCCCAGGAAGGCGGCATACAGGACCGCGGTGGAGAACCAGCGCAGCACGGTCCTGGCCCGGCCACTCCTCCAGGAGGTCGCAGCGGCGGGCTTGCTCTCTGCCAGGGTCTCCGCCTGGTGGAGCCGCTGGGCACCAGCCGAGGGCCCGGCGCTCCCGGTCTTCACGTTTAGTTCCAGCTTGGCGGCTGCAGAGAACTCCTGCTGCGGGCGGACCCTCCCGGGCTCTGCGCTCGGTTCCTCCAGACTCCACCTTCCCCCAGGGACCGGTCCGACTCAGGACCTCCTGCGGCGGCTGGACTTCGACCCTGGCCCCAGCTGGCCGCCCAGAACCTTCACTCTCCATCTTGCAAAATAGCCTGGGTTCCCGTGACAGAGTCAGGCTCTGGCCAACCAATGGGGAGAGTCGGCCAGGAAGTCATGGTGGTTGCCTAGGAAACCGAACTCTGAGAGTTTGAGCTACAACTGCAGCTGCAGCCTGGCAACAGCACCTAAATAGCACGTGCTGCTAAGCTTTAGGGAACCCGTATGCACAGGAGCGGAGGTCGTCCTTACATGACCGCAAACCTGCCTTCTGTCCACTCTTGAGCCCTTCCGGTCTGCTATTCAACTTTCAGGCTACAATCACTTGTTCTGCAACAGCCTCCTGGAGCCATAGCGATTCTCGCCACACTCCTCTGTCACCATAGCTAGGTGTCAGGAAAGGATAAAGTCATAGAGAAAACCCACAGCTCGCCAAAGGTCAGTCAGCAGTCACTGGCCCCGTCAACAGCCAAAGAGCTCAAGGCACACGTATTGGTTCAAAATTGGGGTTTCAAACCCACACAAGATTAAATATACCCACAAGTGACTGGAGCCTGACATTGATCACCATGATCGCTGAGTAAAGTCATGTCAGCTGCGTGGCTGTGCCATTAGTGGGGAGGAGGGGGGTGACTTTGTTCGGTTTGCTTTACTCAAACCAACAATGTGATGTGTTTACATCTATTTCAAATCCGTTCTAGCCACCAGAAAACGTCCTTGCTCTCTACAGCACTGACGACTTATGCTGAGAACATTCCTACATAATAGCAATGGTCAAGAGCCAGACTGGAAGGGCTTTTGTTTGTTTGTTTGTTTGTTT